ATAAAAAAATTACCATTGACTAAACAATAGTAAAAAAATAAATCTGAAAACATACCAATTTTCAGAGGAAAAGAAATGATCAACAAGGTGAAAGGACATCCTACAGAACTGAAAAAAAATTGCAAACCATACATTTGATAAGTGGTTAATATCATAAATATAGAAAGAATTTATATAATTCAATAACAAAGAAAAAACTAAATAATGGAATTAAACAATAAGCAAAAGTCCAGAATGGACATTTTCCCAAAGAACATATATGAATAGCTAGCAAGTAGAGGAAAAGGTGCTGGACATTACTAACCATCAGGGAAACAGGCTCACTCTTATTCCTATGCCAAGGCTCATATTAGATAGCACTTCTTCCAAAAGTCTTCCCTTACACACCCACATGAGCTCATTCCTTCTGAGCCAGAGAACACATATATTTATAATTTCCCACTTCTCATTGCATGAGATAATGACATTGCAACCAGCCCTGACAAGAAGCAGCAAAATGTCCTCAAGGTTAACTCTATTTACTTTGTTGATGAAATCATAAACTGGAAGTAAATCCTGATAATGGCAGCCAATGTGGAAAACACACAGTTCCTCAAAGGAACCAGCTATACATGGTCCTCTGGTTTCAATTTAGTCATTATAATTATATTCTGAAGTATGAATGAAAGGAACAGAGGACTCAGGGCAACACGTCTCCCACTGGGAGAATCTCTTTACCACCTGTTTTTGCTTATTTTGTCAAAAACACTTTCTTTTGGGCCATGTCCTTTGTCCTTCTTCACTCTGCATTCCTAGCCATTGACATTCCATTCTCCATGTTAAAAAGTGGGGTAGGAGGCATCTGGGTGGCTCAGTCGGTTAAGCGGCTGACTCTTGATTTTGGCTCAGGTCACGATCTCGGGTGCTGGGATCCAGCCCCCCCTTTGGACTCCATGCTCAGTGGGATATCTGCTTGAAGATTCTCTCCCTCTCCCCCTCCCCCTGCTTGTGTACTCTCTCTTTCTCTCCAAAATAAATAAATAAATCTTTTTTAAGAAAGTGGGATAGAGGGCGCCTGGGTGGCTCAGTCGTTAAGCGTCTGCCTTCGGCTCAGGTCATGATCCCAGGGTCC